CTAATGAGGGCAAATGACTTACAGAAGTGGCAAAAGTTAAAACAAGGTGCTAGTTTGTGAGAATGGACTTTCTGTCTTTTCTTTTGATTTAGAAAATGGTGGAAAGAAGAAAAAAATCCATACAGATCAACTTTATAACTGCTGCCTAGATGGCTCCTATGAGGTTATTTTAGACTAGAACTAACAAAGATTTAAATCACAAAATGTTCTTTAATATGTAAACAATTCAGGAAATTAAATTAATTTAAATTCAATTCAATTCAGGAAGTTTAAACAAACAAGTAGAACAATCCAGTTGTCCTTCTTTGTCAATGGAGGGATATGTAGATTTGCTTACAAGTTTATAATCAGTCAGACCACTGTTCTTAGGTTCCTTAAGATGCTAAACATTTTCTGCAGTCGATCAGTTCCAGCAGTAAGACAATAAATGAAACCACATGGCTATGTTGAAGCACTCTATATCAGTCCATGAATCTGCAAAACAAAATGCCAGCATAAAAGTTGTATCCTGATCTGCCTTAGCATGGAGGCTGGTGAGTGAGAAATAACAGAATCTCTTACTATAATGTGGAGTAAAGTTGGTTGAGTAAACATAGGCAAATGTTTGGAGCAATATACTGGTATTTATCAAATAACTCAACTAACAAGTCACAATTTGGAGATGGTCTCTGCCAGGCTATTTCTAAACATCAGTATAATCCTGTCCTAAATGAGTGCTAAACCCATATCTAAAAATGGCCTAGTTAACTTGTTGCAGACACAAAGGAACGGCATGGGATAGAGCTGAAGGAACAAATGAGTGTTTGTTTTGAGCAAACTCTGTTCTTAAATTGTGTTACAGGAAGACAGTAATGCTTATTCTCATAGCTGCCAGCTTTTAGGAGGAACTGGGCATGGCCATGGAGCTAGAAAACTAAAAAGTATGGCCATGTAAAATCCCTTATTAGTTGAAGCAGCAGAAAATCTGTAATATACACATAGTGGTCACAGAAAGAGCAGCACACACTGGCAGAGCCTGGATGTCCTTCCTAGTTTAACTATTTGTGCAGCACAGGACTAGTATCCTTTCTAGAGAATATTATCCCTGATTCTTAAATGCAGGACTAGCATTCTTTCAAGAGCACTCTAAATTTGTGCTTATGAGGAGTGTTGGAAGAACAGCAATCAGATGAAGATTGCACTGGGGCTAAAAGGAGTTAATTCTATACCATGTACTTTTATGAAGCAGCAGGAAACAAAGTCAACAGTATAATGGAATCTTTTCTGTCTCAGATCTCACAAAGAGCTCTCTGCTATCCTGTACAATCAAGAATCTAAATGCTCTAATTTGTAACTATGTCACCTGTAAAATGATACTAAATTACACTTGATTTACATTTACTTGATTTACATTTTTATTGGGCATTCACTACTGGAATTTTGTACTATATCAATTTGCAAAAACTTTGGAGTTTATATTTCTTAATAATTCTTTTAATTTTGGATCAAAATATTTTCCCTGCTCCTCTGTCTTTTTTCTTATTCTGCTTTGAAGAACACTCTTATCTACTGCATAGAACAACAACATATCAGATTACAGACTGGGGAAGGAGCTTGACATTCAAAAAAGACTGTTTGGCAACATGCAATTCTTAACTGAAAGCTTTTTTAAAACATTTGATGAACTCATAAAGGCTGTTGAAAACATTCAGTGGCAAGTGACTTTAAATATATTAAACCCAGAAAAGAAATGTGATTTCAAAGGTAGATTCTCTGAGAAAAAATATGGACTTGACTTAGAAATAACAGAGTCAACTCCATAGGCCTCCCTGAAGTTCAACCCTGCACTCTTATATAACAGGAAAAAATTGCCTTGGTGGAAAAGTCATGGGTCTCAAACTCAATCACGTCACATGATGTATCATGACATATCATGACTTTTTTGCCTTTGTGGAGTCGGGGAGAGTCTGACCTACACATGACACATCCGGCCCATGGGCTGCCAGTTTGATTCCCCTGGGATAAGTGATAAATTGGGTTTATTTATCCATAAAGAAGATTGAAGAACATTGGGAAATGGTTTTATCATATTTAAGTGGAGAACAACTTCATTTGGTCTCTTTTGGGAAGATAGGTTGGCTTTGGAGATTTTTGGCATTTTTTGTATTTAATCAGACAACAGTTGATAAGAGGTGGTATTAAGAAACAAACATGGATATTTGATCCAGGACCAATCAGTGCTAATTCTTGGGATGATTTTGGTTAGTTCAGAAGCATGGTAAATTTTCTACAGGTTGATTACAATAACTGTTTGTTAACAGAGAGTTTTAGAATTTTAATCTTGTCTTTTATTATTATTCTTGTTCTTCCTGCTAATTATTTTGTTATTAATATAGTATATAGATGACAGGCAACTAGCAAATGGAATTAGTAATTTAGTAGTTTGGGCCTGTTTCGCAAGGGGTGGGGAACTAATATTGTTGTAATATATTAATCAACATTCAACTGTGAGGGACAATATGTGTATATGTGTAAGTTTTTTAATACACTTTTTTTAATGTCTTGTTTGTTTTCTTTTTTTCTTTAAAAAAATGGTGTTTTGAATTTTAACTTTTTTTGAATAAAATAAAAATAGATTAAAAATAGGCTTTTATTGTTCAGATTGCAGCTCAAGCTGCTGTTAAACGTATGGAATAGAAGCTATTCTACAGGTTTGGAACAATAGAAATTGATTCAGAATTAGAGTAGCTGGCAAAAGCTACCATTCAAATATAATAAAGCTGTAAAAGTTATCAGCAATGGAATTCTAAAATGGAAATGCCCCACTCTGTGGAAATTATTACCACATAAAGAGCTAGAGCAGAGGAGATAGCAAACCAAGAGCTATAATCAATTTGTCTGTGGAAAATATGCAGCCAATTAATATAAGAAGACAAAATATAGTTAAAGAAATGTGGATTTCCCTATATAAATTGTTTGAGAGGGCTAATTTAAATACTTAATGTATGGCTAAGGAGTTTACATGGAAGAAAATTGCAAAAATGGGTGAATTTAACACTAAAATCTATATAGCAACTCGAGAACATGGAAGAGGATATTACAGTAGAGACAACCATGTTGCTGCTAGAATGCAAATTCATGCTGAAGTATGTGTCAGTCAAGTTGACTGATGAATATCATCACCACAGCAGGCAAAATGCAGGCAAGAAATCAAAATGAGATAGCTCTCAAGCCCCAGGGAGAAATGGATTGAAAAGGCCCTGCCCTGTTTTCATAGCAACGAAGCAGGGCAGCTTTATTAGAGAAAGATTGCTCACTTTGGTAGATTGAGGACCACAAGAGGGGAACTGCTGCAAGGAAAGAGGTAGTGAAAGCCACAGCTAGTAAAGGGAAGAGAATAGATGTCTATAAGTCACAATGGAAATGCTTCAAAGCAATCAAGGTAGACAGTGAATCCAAGGGTGCATAGGTTCTAAGGCCAGTGGCAAAAAAAGCAAAAAATTATGAATATGTAAAAATAAAGCTTAGTAGAAGATGGAAAGAACCTACCTGTGAAGGAACGGAACAGAGAGTTTTTAGCACTCCAGTATCAAAATATTTATACGAAACAGCCCCTACTAAGGAAGCTGCTAGACAAAGGTCCAAATGAGCTCCAACAGAAAACATAAAGGCAGGCTAAAGCCTTGACCACAGATCAGCATGCAAGTTTTGAGAAGAATGAACCTTGGATGATGAGCCACATACCACTGAGAAAGGATATTGGAGTGTCAAAAGCAGTCAGATCAATACTGGACTGGGACTAATAGTTAATTGCTAATTCTTGTCTATTCATGAGGAGGAGAAGAAAAGTGAGGGCAATCTATTATTGTTCTAGACATGTATAAAATAGTGTAATAAATTCTACTTCCCCTATTCTCTCAAGTGGCTTTCTGCTATTCTGCTCCACTACAGTGAAACTGGAGATAATCTCTTTTTATGTAATTCATGAACCAGATAAAAATATTTATTTCTTAACTTTGAAAGTCTGAATTCAGCTAGACTCATCTTCGTTAATGGAGTCCTTGGAAAGGAACAGTTAAAGACAAGACAAACATAACATTATGAGGAAACAGCAGAAAAAAGTACTACGGATAAGGAGTCGTAAGGATTGAGTTTATTGATTCCCATCTCCTTATACTTTAGCCATGCTCGTGTATCCAGTCAAATTATTTTATTTAAGGTGCTAAAAGAGCCCATGGTTACTATACTATATGGCAGTGATGGCGAACCTTTTAGAGACCAAGTGCCCAAAAACTGGCCCCGCCCCTGCCCTACCTCCTGCCCTGCCCCATCCCCTGCCCCGCCCCCACTCCGCCCTACCCTGTGTGCCCGCAGGGTCACTCATCACCTCCAGAGCCTGCCACAGATCGCCCAGGCAGCCCACCAGCGCCATGGCGACAACGCCCTCTGCCCACGCCCTGCAGCATCAACTGTGCGCATTGAGACATGAGGGCAGTCTTGTCTACGCTGCCTGGCTGCCATGTCCTTGGCTGCGCTGCTCCGCATGGGCCACGCTCAGGGGCGACTCTCCTCCAGGGAGGTTGCTGGTAAGGAGGGGGTCACGGGTGGAGGCAAGGCTGGGGCAACAGCATGTGTGTCCACAGAGAGGGCTCTGAGTGCCACCTCTGGCACCCGTGCCATAGGTTCGCCACCACTGCTATATGGTATGCTATATTATATAAGTATAAACTATATATACTTATAAGGTTACTATAAACATCAGTCTCACAATAACAACATAACCATTTTTTTTTCATTTTACAAAGTTAAACCAGGCAGTTTATATGGGTTAAATCAATGTTTCACAGAATATGTTTTTTTTAAAGTGCCTACCTGAATCATCTAAAGCAGAGAAACAATTCTGAGCAAAAAAAGTCTTGTCCATCATATATTTTTTCCAAGAAAAATATCAGATGAATGGGGACAAAATAAACTTATTTAACACACGCTCTCCCTATTTCTCTCCCCCCCCTTTTTTATAGGGCTAAGTATTTTCAAGGAAAGAAGGTGAATGGGGAATTTGAGATCCGAGTGGAACAGGTCAGTGAGGAAAAAATCTATTCTCAAAATGCAGTTCAGGCATGTAGTTCACTCCTGACTTTGCAGGTGTCAGTTAGGAAGAGATTTTTATCTAAAAAAACACTTTGGAGCTCGCTTACCTCAGATTTAATTGACTTTTCTGTTATGGTAGAGTACAGAGTGTACAGCCACGCACTTACTTAACCATGCTGGAGAATGTTATACTTTATTTGCTGCTGAGTGGAAATGATATGCTTTCTCAGAAAAACAAATTGTTGTTCCTATTAGAAAAACTACTCTGTTTTGGAGGGGAGAAAGTACTATGTTTTATAAGTGAAATGTCTAAACAATTAAACCTTGTGGAAAATAATTTAATCAATATTGCTTCAAAATGTTCTGGGAGAAATTTGTAAGGTTCTTCCCTATACTTCCACTACTACTTAAGCTCTATTTTCCCAGCATGGCTAGCTTACAATTAGTTTTTGTTTTTGTTTTACTTTATCTCTGATGTGCCAAACCTCACACTTTTGACATAAAACAGGTCAGGCTCTATTTCTAACTTTTTGCTATTAAAAAAATGTTTTTTTTAAGCTCCTGTCTTTTTCTTCCCAATAACACAAAACCTAAGGCTAACTGATTTGGGGATTCTGGGAGTTGAAATCCACACAACTTTAAGTTGACATGTTTGAGAAACACTGGCATAGGTGTCATCTGCTTTTTTGTAGTCCCAATTGGATAACTTTTCTTGACCATTCAGCAAGATATATTAAGCTATACAAATACATTAAATAGTGCATATTTATTGTGCATTCTGCAAGTCTAGTGACAAAAGAATCTGCCTTTTGTCCTGTCTATTCCACAGTTCCCAGGCTCACATGAATTTGTTGAACTATTAGTATTGTAAATGACAGGTGTGTTCTAAAACAACCTTTCCTAATCTGGTGGGCTTGTTGGATGTGGATTAAGGTTCCTGAAGTACAACTGAATTGGAGAAGCCTATTTGGAATTAGTCTAACCTGTAGTGATTTTGCAGTGTTGTGTCTTACAGTCAGGCATGAAAAAAGGTTGTTTTTTAATGATTATATAATACAATGTGCTGCCCAGATTCACTACACTTTAAAATTGTTCAGTGTTTTCAAATGGAATTCTCTCAAAATATAATGAAAATTTTGGCTAATACCACAAGCACAAAACTTTGTTAAGTTTATAGTTGGTCAGTGATGCCAGATTTTAAAAATAAACCCAGATGTGATGTTTGAAATAGGCACCCAAGTCCTATTTAAATAATTTTCCTGTTGGATTTGGTCTGGGATGATGATGATGATGATGATTGCAGTAAACCTAATTCATAGTCCACTTATTATTAGACTATAAACACTTCTTGAGTGTTTCCTGTGCAAAACAGCACTAATTAGACATGCTGCTGCTGTGGAAATCTTGAGGCAAACATTCCATTTGAAAGAGAATTTTGCAAATAGGTCACTCTATTCTCTGTGTTATGTTATCAAGTAACCCTGTGTTCTTTTATTCTTCCACTTCAGGCAGAATTTTCAGAACTCAACTTGGCTGCCTATTCAACTGCTGGCTGTATGGTAGACATGCAGGTCATCAGGAATGGCACAAAAGTGGTCAGGTGACAAATATTAATGTTTTTGTTTCCTTCCAATTAACTTCTTTGTCCGTGCTTTTTTTTTTAACCAAATGTGTGTTCTGTCAATAAGGAATAGATAGTTGCAAACAATTTGCTACAGCTTTTAGCTGTCAAAAAAAGATCAGTCCAGTTTGTGGTGCATTTTGATTGTTAAAAGGGATTTTTTTTTCAGAAACAGTTTATTTGTTGAGATCTTGGAAAATGAGTAAAATTGTTGCGAAAGAAGTACCACAATTACTCTAGTAGGAAACCCCATATCGACAAATAATCCCAAATGCTGATTAGGATATGTGCATATCCTTGGGTTAAAAATATATAAATAAATGTATTTTGTAATTAAAAGGTAAGCTGGTAACTTGCTTCTTCAAGCAAAAATTATGAATTGTAATTATGTCCTATATTTGTTTCATTTGTAACTAATAGAATTAAAATGTCAGGACATATCATCTTGGAGAAAATCTGTTTATGGGGTAGCTAAAAGTGGATTCTGACCTGATGGAATTTAATCAATTAAAAGGAGGTTGTGAGAAGAGACAATTATGATAATTCTTTCTTTTCCCACACTGACCAATGTCTAAGCCTTGGTTGTTGATGTTAATTTTGCATTCTCGGTTGATCTGTAGTGAAGTAACTTTCTTTGCAGACTAATTGCTGTTATTGTAACATTACCTGATTTGGAAGCTAAGCAGAGTTGGATTTGGTTACTACTTAGATAGAAAATGAGCAGGAACACTAGAGATGTAGATACAGCAGGAACTTTAAAAAAGCATCCTGGAATAGCAAATCACTAGTGTTTCCAAGAAACCAGTATGGTTGTGTCTATGTAATCACCAAGAGTCAAGCTAATTTTGAGGACATCTTCACCTTTTCCTTAGACTGAGTATGAAACAGTTGTTTTGTACATTTATGTTGTGATCATTACAACTGAGTTGAAAGCAATATTTCTGTTCATGAGTTGCTTTTCATCTATGCTAAAAGCCTCCCAGCGTCACTTTGCAGTAATAGATGGGCAGCATATAAATTCGATGAAGAAATAAATAAATGGCCCCTCCCACCTATGATTTCCATATTTGCAGCACATTTGTTTGTGTACTCTTCTTCTTAGTTGTATTTTCTTTCTGTTTGTGTTCTCATAGTCACTAGCTTTGTGGGCCTATGTGCCCATTAATCCTGCTGACTTTGTTGATATAAATGCCGTTATGCTAGGGATTTGACTTCAAGATCATACAAATGGTTATTAAGAAATTCTGATGGATCACCATAGCCAATTAGGTAATCATATAGCACAGTATATTGCAGAACATAGATGGTACTAAGAAACTACAACGAGAGAAATATACGCAGATTAAGGAAATAAGCAAAATGCTCATCCACATAGCTAGTTATTGCCATACTTTCCTCCCATTCCAGAACTAAGAGGAAATGCTGACCTTAGATTAGTATTAGTATTAGTATTATGTCAATGATAGCACATGGTCATCATAACAAAATGCCTTATTGGAGTTTCTTCTTGCATGTTTTCCTACTGTTTCAGTCTGAATTATGAATAAGGACAGAGTAATGTTTCAGCCTGATCATCCTTTCCATTCTCTATTGTGCCTTCCCCATTTGTTTCTAAGGCTTCCTGTTTGCCACAGTTTTCTCTCTCATTGCCTCATAACCTTAACGATTTGCTGAGTTAAGACCCATGTATTTCTTTTACAGTGAGGATTGCTAATTTCAATTTGATGAATATTTTCAGGATCCAGAATTTTCTGAGGGAGAAAAACATGGCTGTTCCAGTGCATGCTTTAGTTGTGTTTTCCCAATAACTTTTTCCATCCCCTGAAGTTAATCCAGTCTTACAGATTATCTGGACCTTCCTGTTTTCTCATATCTCATTACATTCCAGAGCTCTTCACAGACTCCCTATTCAAACCAGAACCCAATTTGAAGCACTAACTTATTCATAGTTCTGCAGACATAATCCAAAGTATCTGCCTGTGTTTCTCCCTCCCTTCTTTTGGTTGTAACTTCCAGGACAAAGGTTCACATTCTGGGGTTCAGGGACCTGGCCTTAGAACTCCTTCCTTTCCTTTGTCTCTGCTTTGGGAGATTACTGCAAACACTCAGCATTTGGACAAAACAGTGATGATTTGGCCCTTGGGACTCTCAACACATCTGTCTTATATTATTATCCTTGAAATAATGTGGTAGACACTAGACATGGGTGAAGGAAGATAGGGGAGATGTTTAGCAGTGTCAGTATGCCTTTCTCATAATATTCAAATGAATCTCCTTGGATCTTGTTGCTCATACAAATATCCTCCAATCCATAATTCCAACCAAATGAAAAGTTGCCCCAAATCAGTAGAAAGTACAGAACTTTCAGTACATAAGGGTTCCTAATCTGAACAGATTGTGGTAATGCAATAAAAGTCATAAATACAATCAAGTTGACCAGTCTCAGGTTGTGCTTCTTAAAATATTGTCTTGTATCATGATTTTTGTAAGAATAAACACATGCATATATAAACACACACACATGCACACACACCTCTATTCAGAAAAACATCAGTATATAGCACAGAAGAGCAATAAAACATAAGTTTCAAAACAAAACTAGTGGATAACTATGGTAAAAGATCAGTAGTCTTTAACTGGCATTGGAAAGATATTCATATTGCTTTCAGGTAAATCTCCTTGCTGAGGATGTTCTATTTTAAGTGACAGCTTAAAAGACATTTCTCCAGATGACACTAATCATTTCAGAAGAAAATGATGGAGCCCAAAGATCACTTTCCAGGAGAGTAAGCTAAAAAAGTACCTGTTTGGATGCCAGAAACCTTTTATAGCCTTCCTATAAAATGTATCTGTACCAAATATTTGAAATACTGGACTAAACATAACTCAGATATGCAAGTGATTTTTCATTAGTGTTTTAATAAAAGGCACAAGTATAAACCAGATGTGTAAAGGAGATTTGAAGGTGATATTTTGGTCAAAGAATTCTACTTAGTCACAGACTGACTTTCTTTATATGTTAGTTTGAAAGGTTTCCAGATCACGTTAGCTAAATTGTGATAAAATAAATTATGAATACATTTATTATAATGTATTCAGCAGAATCATTTACTTAGGATGATAATTAATCTGAAGAAACCTTTGAGGGATTCTGTGGATCTTCAAGAGAAAACAGATTAGATATAAGAGTAATTATTATTCTGAAGGTATGGCTAAATGGGAGCACTGAGTCAGCCTGATAAAGTAATGCCAGCCAGTAAGGAGCAAATTGCAGTTATGAGTGTTCTTGTACAAGATGGAATAGTTTGGTGCTGTATGTCTGAATTTCAACTCTTTTGCCTAACAAGATTTATTCTTTATGCTAGTTATTGAGTAGCAATTACTTGTCTGTCAGTACAATGGAGAGGGCAGAGGTCACTGTTTCCTTGTTATAATCATATTCATTCTTTAATTAAAACTGGCTCTCCCATTGATTCTTGTTGCCAATCTAATTGGGGGTCCTGCCAGGGTTGTGACCTGTTGCCTTAGAATTCCAGATTAGCTGTAACCATTTAAATTGTACATTTTTGTGCATTTATTATTTATTATTTATTTATTTATTTATTTATTTATTTTTAGGATTTATATGCCGCCCTTCTCCCCATGGGACTCAGGGCGGCTCACAGCATATTAAAACATCATACAAAAAAATTTCCCCTACTAAAAACCAATTAAAACCCAAATATTGGTAGCTGTGGCTCTTTAAAATCGTTAAAAATTGTCCCTATTTAAAACTCACCCTAGGTCAGGCCCGCTTGTTGAA